GAAAAGGGGGGGGGGGGGGAGGATCAGGTTACTTGAGCCCTTGCCCAGAAAAAAAATGTTGATTCATTTAGAAATGCTCTGATGCATTTTGGTTTATACCTAAATTTTATATGCATCATTTTTGCACACAGTAGTAGTAAAAATGAATTTAAGTGTCACTTCACTTGTTGTTCTTATTAAAATGTGATATTTTAAGTTGTTGCTAAATAGTTTTTTGTTCAGTAATTTAACAAACTAATTAGCTATTTAGTTCGTAAAGTCTTTCCTTAATAATTGAGCTAGGCTTAAGCAGTAAAAGGACATGACGTTCATACAATGTGGGGTCAACGTGCCATAGGTCGGGATAAGTTTGTGTTCCTAATTCACCCGGTTGGGAGTGGTTGTTCCAGCCTTGATCTCACTCATTGACAAGTCCGTATGGTGGTCGCTTTTAATGAATTGTTTGGAGACAAGACACTGTACATCTTGCGTATTGTGAAGGAGGTGTTCAGTGCACCTTTCAGAGAGTCGGCATCCTTTCTCCCCCATGTAAGAAATCTGGTTGCGGGTGCAGACAATGGTGTAGACAACATTGGGGCTAGTACAAACGGAAACCACCGCGTATCTGAAAATTGCCCTTACGGAAACGTATGCGTTAAGATTTGTATAAAATAATTTCCATACAGATGCATTTTAGAAATTAATTTAATATACAAATAAGTTTTGTTTCCTTTAAAAATAAATCATGTCAAATATATATGATGAACAGTATTTAAGACATGCACATCAATAAATACTGACATTAATTTTCTATAGAAAATATAAGCTTAAAGAAATGTAATTTCTTTCACGTTCAAGATTAAAATTTAATCCACCAACTATTAACAAACATTTTCCATACATTTCTTATTAGTAAATCATTTTTTTTTTTTAGGCGAAATATGAAGATGCAATTATGGAGACAAAAATTAAAAAGAAACACATAATGAAACTGATTAAATGAATGAAATATTTCTTCCTTTAACAAGTTGGTTTGTAAATGCATCTCTTTTGCTGCCCACGGATACTACATCCAAGCTAAGTGACATTTCTTATTTTTATACCGTTTTTTCTGTTGTTTTGTTCGATGACGAAGGCTTTCTGCCGACACGTTGGTTGTTTTGTTGCGTTTCTTTTCCGGGTTTAACCCTACTCTGTTTTATTCATTCTACATTGTGCTAACCTGATTGCAGTCTCCCCCCTTATTACCCGGGTTTGTAAATAGGGAGGTAAGCACGAATTTAAAAATAAAAATAAACCATGAATAATCGGACATGAAAGAGTGCATACTGGTAGGATGCAATTAATTGAACTTGTTTCATTGTCCTTACCATCATTTTTTATACTAAAAAATCGTACAATGATGTACTGATAAGTGAGAGCGTTGAATACAAATATATGTGTGAAAATTTCTTGATAGATTTTGTTAATTTAACACAAGTATGCTATACATTGACGTAAAAAAAAATAATTAAAAAATAAACAAAAAAATATTACAATTTTAGGATTTTAAAAAATGAATGGTCCTTATTCAGGGGTGGACTGGGCCGCCGGGACACCGGGAAGATTCCCGATGGGCCGCTAAGACCGGTGATATAATAAAAACAAAAGTCATGAAGATAGGGCCGCTTTTTGTTTTTTTCCCGGGCCGCTTTGATTTTTTCCCGGGCCGCTTGAACATCCCAGACCACCCCTGTCCTTATTCAATATAAAAATAAATGAGATTTAAAGGAAATTATTTGATTAGACAGTTGAATTAAGTTGCATTACGTAAGTTTCAACAACCCTGGGCTGTTATTAACATTTCTATTTGGACATTTGAATCACGTTCGTTTTACAGCGTCAAACCAACAGACCTTTGATAAAATACTAAAATTTGTCACCAAACATTCGTAGCATGGATCATTAGACGACCAGTACTTTATCAAATGCCTAATAGTTAAGCAAAGGTCTGGTCTAGCTTGTCTTTTCATATTGAACAATATAAAAAAACATCGGGATGTTTGCCCACTCACTGACCGGAAGCAGTGCTGTCCTCGTGTTAAACATCAACATGTCTTTGGTCGGGTTAGGCAGTGGCAACATTTGTATGATATGTTCTCTGTTGACACCGTGCCGACGGCAGAGTTGACGGCAATGAATGACAGTTTGACCAGGGGCCAGGGTTGAGAAGTGGCGTCCATGACCAAGTGCTAAAGCTCAGGTGAACTCAAATCTAAACCATTTAAATTAAAATCTCTAGGGGGATTCCGTGCATTGTAATTTGAGTTTAAAAAGCTTTTTGCATTGTTCAGCATTTTCAAGTCATCATTTGTCAGACACATATTAGCTATCACGTCAGACACATATTAGCGACATCTAACAAGTTATGTTTCAAAACTCCAAATAAGGCAGAAAACTTGGACCGGGAATAAGGAAACGGGACAACACCGTTAGCAATCATCAAACGAGATATTTCTTTGTTTTTATACAAATCCTTTAAACTGAAGACATTTTTTTGGACACATGTTAATAAAAGTTTTTTTCCTGTAAGATTAAGCCTTGGTATTGGGTTGTGTTGCAGAAGCACTTTCGTTTTTGGAAAATATCCTGAATGTTGATCAAAATATTCATTTCCCTGACTGTCAGACCCAAGACATAAAATATGTGGAGTTCGTTTCTTTTCGTCTTCAATCTCAAGGCTTGCACCGTGTAAAATGAAATTTTTCAAATATTCATCATTCTGATTATTTTCAATTGCATAGTGCAAGGCTGTTTTCCAACTTTGTCTTGCACATTAAACACATCTCTATTGAAAAGATTTATAATTAAAGTATTTGAAAAGTTTGAGCTTTGAGAAGCATACATTAACGCCGTTTTCCCCTTTTTATCTCGAATGTACTGTGAATCCTTTATCATCTTCTTCATGAGATGATCTGGAAGATCTCTTTTATGCTTGATGGCATACATTAAAGCCGTCTTCTCTTCATTATCTTGAACGTTCCAAGTGTTGCCAATGAGAGGTTGGATAAAATGATATGTGCCATTGGAATGCTTCTCAGTTTCCAACGCTATCATCAAAGCAGTTTTGCCGTCCTTATATTGATTTTTTTGAGTATCTCCAAAAAGGAGTTTTGTGATTTTTTCATCTATATGTGTGCAATATTTAAGGGCGTAAATAACAGTTGTATTGACTTCATTGTCTTCTATATTTACTTTCCCACGAAATAATTCATTGATGGTTTTATATTCAAGACATTGTTTCCTCTGAAAAGCATATATTAGGGCAGTTTGTCCAGATTTGGCTTGAAAAAAGGATTTTCTCCAGCTAAATATTCTATCATTTCTTTACAAATTTGCACCTTGTGTATAAAAGCATACATCAAAGCTGTTTTTCCATCTTAGTCTTGTATATTTTGAGAACCCCCTATTATCTGTATGATGAGATTATCCGGTAGGACCCTTCTGTATCATTGCATACATCAAAGCAGTTTTTCCACTTTTGTCTTGAGCATTACAAGTATCTCCAATCAGAGGTGTTAAATAGTCTCTTGTATAACCATTGCATTTGTAACGTTGTACATTGTAATGCAATCATTAATGCTGTTTTGCCATCTTTATATTGTTCTTTTTGAGTATCGCCAACAAGAAGAGCTGTAATTTTTTTTAGTATGAAATTGATAGTATTTAATAGCGTAAATAACTGTTGAATCCCCAACATCGTCACTAATATTTGTTTTACCTCCGAAAAGATAGTTTTTGTTTTTATAAGTTAGGCATTGGTTATGCTGTAAGGCATACATCAGGGCAGTTTTGCCACATGCATCATGGATGAAAGGATTTTCTCCGACTAAACGTTCAATCATTTCTTCAGAAAGTTGCCTGTTGTGTTTAAACGCATATATCAACGCTGTTTTTCCATAATTATCTTGTGTACATTGAGAATCGCCTATCATCTGTGTGATAAGATTATCTGAAATGACCCTTGTCCTTATCATGGCATATACCAAAGCTGTTTTTCCAGTTTTATCTTGTATATTCTGAGAAATGCCTCTCATTTTCTCAATGAGATATTCTGGAATGGCGAATGTGTTAATCAATGCATACATCAAAGCTGTCGTTCCTTCATTGTCTTGCATATTACAAGAATTTTCAATTAATGGTTTCATAAACGTTTCTGATCTGCTTTTGTAACGCTGTAAGGCAATCATCAAAGCTGTTTTGCCCTCCTTATATTTTTCTTTTTGAGTATCACCAACAAGTAGTGTGATGATTTTTTTCAGTAAGAAATTCATAGTATTTAATAGCGTAAATAACAGTTGAATCCCCATCATTGTCACGAATTTTGACCATTCCACCTAAAAGTATTTCTATGGTTCTATATGTAATTTTAAATGCAGACATGAATGATGAATTTGGTATGTGATTTTTCCTTTTAGCTATTTTTAAAATTAATTGAGTTGTGATTCCTAATCTTGTTTTTGGCTCACACGGGAAATAATTCATTAGAATTGTCCTACCTTTTATGTCTCTATAACCAACGTCATCACTCGCACGGAGTCGAATGTACGAATCCAACAACTTTTGTCCAGTTTCAAAAGCGTACAGTAAAAGCGGTACTCCATGTTTATCTTTATTTTTTCCTCTTTGTTCCATTAAGTATTTGTCACAGTCTTCACAACTGCTATATTCATTGTCCTTTCATTTAAAATGAGATGCAAAGTGTCTTGCATCGTCACATGCGTCTACACGTCTAGCACCTCTCTTGTCTTTTTTATGAAGAAATTCAGCCTTGACAAACTCCTCAATGTCCATTTTGATTGCGTACATGATACAGTTTCTATCCCCACGTTTCGCTGCGTACATAAGAGCGGTTTTACCGTGAATGTCCCGCATGTTTAAACGACCGTTTTCCTGTAAGAAGTCTAGGATCTTCTTAAACATTTCAAAGTGCATTGATGAAGTTTTGCTCCTGGGATGCTTGATGAAGGCTCCAACTCTGATTAGATCTTTAACAATAGGGTTGGAACCTCTGAGCATGGCAAGTGTGAGAGCGCGTTTCCTTTGTTCTTGTTAATCCTATTCACATCTGCTACAGCCAGCAGCAGAAGTCGAACGCAATCATCGTAGTGGCGCTTAACCGCGTACATCAATGGCGTGGTGCCCGTTTCGTCAGTGCTGTTTACGTTGCAACTGTTTTTAATGGATGAAACTAAATCTGGCTCTACTGTTAAATCTGTGAATCCATTGTGGGATCGACTTTTAGCTGTGGAATTCTTGTTACTTTGCATTATAAATATGGTGATTTCGTTGACCTTCTGACAGATAGAAACGGCTCCTCTTACATGTTCCAACAAAATCTGCAAGTAGCTAAACAGGTCTTCTTTCAAACATTGTGACACTGCTGAACTATTTTTGTAGTTCACAAATCTTGATTGGAACCGGATTCTAACAGTACTCTGAGAACGTCAGGTCTTCTAACCCTTATCGCCACCACCAGTGCCGTTTTTCCTTGCATATTTTGAACGTCAACATTAGCTTCTGCATGTATGATTGCTTCTACAGTGGACAGGGCCTCATTGTCTTCAATGGCCTTAGTCAGCAAAGTTCTTCCGCCAGGATACACAAGGTTTAAATCTTTGCCGAGTTCACATGCCTTGTGACGAATCACTCCCGGGTCACAAGTCTTTGCTGAGGTCATGAGATCTGATATTGGATCAACTTTTGTTGGACATTTCTTATTCCTTACTCTGGATATTTTCAGCTTTTGTATTGTAGTACGATATTCGAAAAGAAAAAAGTTCGCAAATATAATGTAAAAAACATGTAAATCTTTTTTTGTTTAAACTATATTTTGAAATGAGTTTAAGGTATAACTTTTTGATTATTTGATTATAAAAAAATACACGGATCTCTGTATTTGTAAGGGGGGGGGTGTCACACACATTGTTTGGGTAGATATAATATGGGCAACAAATTAACACTAAGCATGCATTTCACGTATTCCAACGTTTAAAATCGTAATATTTTTTTTCTTTAAAATCCTTATTGAAATATTAATGTCTGTGGATTTTATTTTAATATGTAGTTTCTGAATATGAAATATAAAATCCAATATAAATGAGGCATATTTCTTTAGAAAATTAATCAATGAATCTCATATTTATTTATCTTGTTGATTAAAAGCTTGACACTTCAATATCATCTATGGAGAAAAATAGGATTTCGATCATACATTAGTTTTTTTTAAAATTATTCAAAAAAAAAAAATCTCTTATATATTTTGCTTGTGGTGTGACTGCTTCCATTTCCGGATAAAGCGGTAAATATTCTCGATAACTACGCTAAGTTATTTTTTTTTTAAAATACGGCAAAATCGTTTGTCTCGTAATATTTTCTTTTCTTTTCGAAATTTGATATCGTCTAGATTTAAACAAGATGTAATAAACATTCGGATTAAATGTGGCCAGGGTGGGAGAGGGGTATCAAAAATTGGGATTCTTAAATTAGCTTCACTTGAATTCATGTTTTGTCGAGTAACTTTAGTTACGCATTGCTATCTCCAATGTTTGGCGAGCTAAATTTAGTTTATTTTTAAAATCATAATTTTTTTTTTTAATTTTTTTTTTTTAAGTTGGGTCATATTATCAGTGTTCGGGCGGTACATACATTTAAAGTGCTGATTAAACACAAACTCAATTTTGAGTTTAGATTTTTTTAAATTATAAAAATGCTTCTTCTAATGAAAATAGTTTTCAATATTCAAGTTTCTAATCACTGAGCCACTAATGTTGGCATTTAGGTAAATAAATCTCAATTTATCGATGGAAATATCTATATTGCTGAATACTGATTTTGTTGTGCACAGAATGATGCAGTCAATGGAATTTTTTTTTTTTTTTAAATCAGAGAAACACAAATATGCCAAAATTATTTTAGTTCCTTTATCGTATTTTCACAGAAAAACACCACAAACACTGTATGAATTGATTTTTCATTTGATATTAATCATGCCATCGACCTTGTACTTTAAAAAAAAAAAAATTAAAACTGAAAGTTAACGTTTTATTTATCAAGCATGTTTGAAGAGTTTATAAGTTGTTACTTAAAATGTCTTTGGCCTTTTTGTATCATTTTTCCCACCTATATATATATATAATGATAGTGAAATTGTATCCCTCAGTCTTGATACACACATACATACACGCACACACACAAATGGGATGTATTATTTATTTATGTTTAATTTGTTTATTCACGCAGTTAAAATCTTTTAAATGTACACTGTATTTAAAAAAATATTAAAAGTATCCTACCTTCTGTGACAAGGAACACAATCAATTTGAATCAATTCACACAGACTTAGCATGACTCCTGCTTTGAAAAGTCACACTATGGCTTGGCTTGGTTTATGCGCAAAGCGTACATGAATTGAGAATAAATAGGTCGTGACCGAGACCAGCCTATTTCCCCACCAGCACCAAACCCTTCTCTTTAAAACACTTTACTTTATATCAACGTCAAATAATCAATACTAAATTACCATAGCTAAGGACGTGCGTGTCCATAGTTAAAACTTATTGGGACTGGCTTGTAAATGATAAAGGTCAATTTATTTTGTTTTTGAATTCTGCAAACAGAAATTAATCACGGAAATAATGATTTGCTTTTTTTAGGAAGAATACACATATCAAACGAAATTATTATTTAATTGACTTGAATTGTTTTTGTTTATATTTAATATATATATCTAAACTAAGATGAAAAAAAGGAAATATTAGCTTAATAATTTTATCATGCATGTAAATGAAAATAACTTTACCTTCGGGAATAAAATATTATATCAGAGAGCTAGTTCTTTATAGAAAATAAAACAACAAAATACACGTTTTAAGAGGGTGGGGGGCGTACTTAAATGATCAGAGATCGGGGGTCAAAATGTACAATTAAAACGAAAAAAATGTATAAATGTAAATACACTAAGATTTTAATGTATACTTTTTTTAATAGCAACTTACGTTTCAAGTAGAGAAACAGCACAGGTGGCCTCGTCGCTGTCTAGGGGCGGTGGGACGAGTTTCTGTTTAATGCTCATTAAGTGGACCAGCTCATTTTCCTGAGCAAAGAAGTTTTTTCGTTGTAATATGCCCCCCAATCCACCCCGAGCGAAGTTTGGGCGTATTAAAAGTCTTAAATGGATTCCCCCTCCGCTCCACATAGAAATCTAATGATATAATATGGCATTACTTTGTATTTAGTCGTTTCAAAATATAAGAGTAACTTTTTTTAAATGCTACCCCTAACAATTCACGGTTTATTATACGAAACTGTGCTACTAAGAATAATATAGAAGAATTGTGTAGCCATTAAAAAAAAAAATTATATTTTATAAATTTCATGCATACATGAAACTAAAGAAAAAAAAGAAGATATTCAACAAAAAAAAAAATTAAAAATATTGCTGTAATAATTGATTTCTAACAGAAATTTATTGCAGCCGTTTCTGAGACATGTCTTATAAAATTATCCTAGTCACCGCAAAAGGGCTGACGTTTCTTGTCAAGTTATAATTTAGCTTTCTCTTAACTTGATAATAACAGTCGGTCTTTGTTCAAGAAAAGACTCTTACAGTCAGTCATTTCCTGTCTAAATTCCTGTCTAAATTGACAAATTCCTTTTTTTTTTCGAGGGGGGGGGGGGTGGGGGCGAATTTAGAAGAACTTTTTTTTAGCACAAGTTTAAGCTTCCTGTTTCTCGCCTGGAGAGATTCTTTTTTTAAATGAAATATTTTTATTTTATTTAAGAACTTAGATGTGAAAAACTTTGTCTCTTGTGTCTTCTCAAACTTTTTTTTTTTCAAATAATATTCTTAATCAGTGGTTCTTAAACCTGTCTTTTGCACGCATTGCAATTGAATTCATTGACCCCGTCATGAATTTAAATCTGTAGTATCACGTCTCTTTAAAACGAGCGGCTTACTCGCTAAACGTTTCAATTACTTTTTAAATCAGGGGCTCTCAACAAGTGCCAAGGGAAGCGGGAATACTAATAAAATCAAATTTATTTGAATTATGTTGACAAATTGAGACGAGTGTGCCGTAAAATATCTTGAAAGCAAGAAAGGGGTGCGGCTTTGAAAAATATGTTTATAGCCCGGTTTTCAGGTGAAACTCTAATTCAGAACCACTGGCCTTTTTGATAAGAAGTCAAGAAAACATTTTTTTTTATTACGGACGTCCCAGTGTTAAAAATAGATTTTAATAATAATGCCCTCTTATATGGAGACCCGATTCTCCCAGCCCTGGGCTTTGACATATACACCAGCGTTTCTCAATCATCTCTGGTATTGTTAAATAAAATTAAATGTTTAAAAAAATGATATTGATACAGAGAGTTTATTAATTGGTTTTTCAAAGTTTCTCCCAAATGTCGAATAATTATATAGGATTAGATAGTGTTGAAAGTAAATGGTGATGTTTCTATAAAATTAGTATTTTTTAAATACACAAAACTTACATTGTTTAATGGAATATCTGGCTACACGTGACACATGAGGATAGTTTTTTTTTGTTTTTTTTCCAAAAGCTTTGTGGACCGGAACCGGTCCACGAGCCGCACATTGCCGGCCCGCACTACATTAATAACCATGGTTAAATAAATGCAAAAGGAATAGATCAATAATAAACTAAATTTTATAACAGAGAGGAAAACATGAGCAATTTCATTACATGTGTCCTTTTGTCTGCCGCATTGCAACTAAGTGTTTATCTTAATTTTAGATTGAATGTACTGTTTTTAAATTTGTTGCCTACATTGGAAAAATTTCACCAAACTTTGCTTCATTAATTTCCTTCTTACTAATACAAAAACCTGGGCTTTTTAAAAAAAAATGAATCAGTTACTTTTTCAGGACTTCTGATTTAGAACGTGAAAACCGGCACCCACCCACAGACTGACACACACATTGACACACACACTGACACACCCAAACCACAATTTTATATACTTTGGTTGGATTTTTCGACCCAGTAGAATTATTAGGTTTGATAACATACATTTTCATTATAATTTCTTGACCAGAAGTCTATCCAGGTTATGCTAACAATTTTGAGAACCTAATTTTCAAATATCGACGTTCCGCTCCCATCAATTAGTGATAATCCTCTTTTTTTTAATTATAACATTACACATTTTACTTATAAGGCGACATTCCAAGTACTTCAAATGTGTCATTCTACTTTCTTCTAATAGTGTCATTTCACTATCTTCAAATGGTGGCATTTCTCATTTTTAACATGGAGACATTCCACTTTTTTCAAATGGTGTCATTCAACTTTTTTCTAATGGTGTTATTTCACTTTCTTCTAGAGTTGTCATTCCACTTTCTTCAAATTGTGTCACTCCACTTTCTTCTAATGGTGTCATTCCACTTTCTTCAAATGGAGACATTCCATTTTCTTCTAATGGCGTCATTCCATTTTTTTCTAAAGGTGTCATTGCACATTTTTCAAACGATGTCACTCAACTATCTTCAAATGGTGACATTTCACTTCCTTCAAATTTCTTTTTCTTTTAATGTTCCTTCAAATTCCAATTTCTTTTAATGTTTCTATCCAATTACTTCAAAAGATGTCATTCCATTTT